TTCACCTTCTGCCGAGGCATGGATGCACACTGACAGCCAAAGCAGTTATCCTTGGGTCTCGTGAAAGTATTTCACAAAGCTGTTGTGAAACTTTGATGACATTAGTGAAGGTTTTAACGTCTGGAAAGATCAGGATGCACTAGTATTAGTTCATGGGTTTGTTTGACAAATTTTAGGTCGTAGATAATACTTTTTCTCAAAAGAGGGAAGTGGAAATAATTCATCAAATGCCACAGGCAATTTCTGAAGCAGGGAATAACCCCCACTGAATTATTATTTTTATTGCTTATTCAATTTTTCTTGGATGGTAGCTCTAAGCTATAGCAAGAGCTTAGTACGAATTCTGCTGTTTCCAAGTAGAAATCAGTACCTCTTCTGCTATGCTGTACATGCGCTGCGTAGAATGTTTTACCACTCATCTGTATTATTTTTTAGGTGGATGAACAGCACTCAGACCCCTAGTGACCTCCGACTTCCGTGAATCCCTCTCAGATTTTTGAGTTGATTAGGGTTGGAATCGAGTTTCAGAAGCAAGTGCTTGCACCCATAAACTTGTAGCTTTGTAGGTGCTAAAGTGAGAGTTTTCCAGTATGTATGAAAGAGACAAGACTATCTAGCCTTTGCCTTAAGTGAGATTTATTGCATTTGAAAAATCTCACTCTTCAGCATCTGATCAGGACATCAGAAGAAACCCGGTTTTGAAAATGCCAAAACTAAATGCTTGCTCACACACTTTAAGTGACTTGGTTTTTAAAATTGTTAACTATGCAACACTGCCCAGTAAGTGAAAATCAGTACCCCTTGTATTTACGTACCTGTGACTGCATTGTAAGAACCTTAGTGATCTTTTTTAAAAAAAATACCAGGCCATACATTTGAAAGGCATTTAAAACCAATCTTGAATGCTTTATGGTTTTAAATATCCAGATTGTAATCAAAAGCCTTCTGAGTCAGTGGTTGTCATATGGGATGTGTAATGCTCTTCTGTGCTAGAGGTATATTGAAAAGAAGATATCTTTCAGTGTTTAAGGTAGGTTAATTTTTTTAGTCGCTACTCAGTAGTTGGCAAGTTAGAATTTCAAATGGAGAATTTCCATTCAAGCTTTCGCTTTTGAACGTTAAAAGCTAACCGTCAACATTTGTTCACTGTTTGTTTTTTTATCTTTAATCTTGCAAATAACAGTTTCACAACCTGACCATCTCAATGTGAGGTCCTAGATTGCTGTTTAGAGTCCTTACAGTGGTATTTGCAAAAATACCCATTTTACCTCTGCAACAGTGGTGTGCACATATTTTTGCAGATTGGCTAGCTCATCATACAAACAGATATTTAAATGAAGTTATACAACCTTCCAGTCCACATGACAATTTTGCTAGCTCTAGTGTGAATTTTTGCAAGGTTTGCACCCACTTACGGAACAGCTTTGTTTTAAACACTAAGCGAACCAGAAGGATAATTATTGATATGCATTTTTATATTTGCTTTGATTGTTGTTTAAAACAAATTTATAAAAATGCCAGGCTAACGCCTGCCTTGTCACCTTGGAGCAAGCCAGTGATGAATGAAATATATATATAATAACACTAAAATATATTTTACACTCTCTCTCCATTTAGAAACATTTCTTCCTCATGCTGCTTGTGAGGCAGCCAATAAATCCCTCAACATACTGGGAGAGGAGTGACATACAACTCTAATTTTATTCCGCTTTTAGTCTTTGCATTTCCAAAACAAAACAATTACCCAGATAGTCACTACAATGGCCCACATTTCTTGTGGCTCTCTCTCTGACCCTTAAAGTATTGTGGACATTTTGCTTAACAGTCCTACTGAGATCCAGGCGTCAAATGACCAACTTCAGATCACCAGCTGGCCGCCTTCTGACCAGAATGCCGGGCTTCTCTCTTTGCGTTGCAGTGAAGTTTTGATCTGGAGGTATTGGGTCAAGATACAGCTACGCTATGGGCTGCCAGCAGTTAGATGTGCTAAATACACTTTTACTGACCGGTAGTTGCCAACTGGGCTACAATTTCTATTTGCCATGCTATTTGCCATCATTGCCTTTCTATTTCCTTTTACTGTATAAGAAAGACTACTTTTCCATAGAAAAAATAATTCTAACTCCACCTTTTCCGCCCTGTTGTCTTACTTGAAATTGGAGAAGGGCGTTCTTTCAAGCTTCAGTTGATAAGTCTGGATTTGTTTTTACATATGATTCTTTTCCAGCTCTTGAAACTGCAATACATGATACATAAAGTACTGATGTTTTAGTCCACTTTCAGTAAAATCTCAAACACCACTTGGCTTTGAAGTAAGCTGTCTATACTGCCAGTGTGGTTGTGAGCGCTTTGGGGGCTATGGGTATAGAGGTAGGCTTACTTTTCAGCTCTAGTTCTTAGAGGTCATAGGGTCTCAGGAAAATCCAGGTTGAGTGGGAGCTCAGGAGGTCTACAATCTCAGGCTTGCAGCAGGGTCAGCTATGAGCTCAGGCCAGGTTGCTCAGGGCTTTCTCCAGACAGGTCTGGAAAACCTCCAAGGATGGAGACTGCACGGCCTCTCTAGGCAGCCTGTCCCACTGCTTCTCTGTCCTCTTGCTGAAAAAGGTCATCCTTATATACTGTCTGAACTGCTCTTGTTTCAACGTGTGCCCTGTGTCTCCTGTCCTCCTACCATGCACCACTGGGTAACAGCCTGGCTCCTTCATCTCGATGACCTCCTTGCAGACACTGACAGGCTGCATCCCTCTGAAGCCAGTCCTTCTCCAGGCTGAACAAGCCCAGCTCCTTTAGCCTCTCCTCACAGAGCAGGTGCTCCAGCCCCTGACCATCCTGATGGCCCTCTGCTGAGCTTGCTCCAGTTTATTCATGTCTTTCCTTTAGTGGAGGCCCCAAACTAGATGCAGTACTGTAGGTATGGTCTCATAAGTGCTGAGTGCAGGAGAATAATCACTTCCTGTGGTGTGCCAGCCATGCCCCTGTTAATACAGTCCTGCATGCTGCTGGCCGCCTTTGCTGCCAGGGCGCGCTGCTGGCTCCTGTTCGGCCCCTCGTGCTTTTCAACCCCAGCCTGTATGGTTGCGGGGGACTCTTCCTTGCCAGGTGCAGGGCTCTGCACTTATCCTTGCTGAATTTCTAAGGGACGTGCTGACCCCTTCCTCCAGCCTGCCTAGGTCCCTCTGGATGGCAGCCCTGCTCTCGAGTGCATCAGCTCGTTGCCCCAGTTTTGTATCGTCTGCAAACTTGATGAGAGTTCACTCAGTCATCTCTTCCAGGTCATTTATAAAGATCTTAAATAGGTCCTTACTTTTAAAAATTTTTAAAATATTTTAACAGACAAAGGATGGAACCCTGGGAAAGCCATTATAATCTCTTTTTCTTGTCCTTAAGTTGTGTTGCAGTTTGTTGTGTTGTCTGTTCCATAGTACAGTATCTGATTTATTCTGAGCTGAGAATGTGCAGGCTTTCAGAAGTCTGCAAAATTTGCTTTTTAGTATCGTGTAAGGAGTGCATCCTATTGAGCAGACGGATTCACCTCATGAATATGACGTTAGTTTACAGGCCACTGCCAAAAGGAGCTGATAAGATCCCTTCAGTGGATCAAAACATGTACAACTGTATACAATGCTTCGTTTTCATTTTTCAGGCCATCGCAGGAAGCTGAGAAATTAGTTCTCTAGCAAGGTAAAAAACGTAGTACCTTAGCTGAAATATTTAAACACCCCTGATTTCAAAATATTTGCCTGTACTGCTTTTGTAGCCCGTGCTTGGCGTTGAGAAGGGATGGCACCCAGCAAGCAAGCAAGCAAACAGCAGTTTTCTGTAGGCAGGCAGAGTTCTGCCGCTGCCCCTCCTTCACGCGTTTGTCTAGCCACTGAGTCACTGAGCATACAGTATTGTGTAACTTTCCTTTCTGCGGAGGCTTGTTATATTAGAAAAATTGTTCCAAAGAAAGCAACAATTATGACATAAGCACATCTGGCTCTTGCAAATTATTCTTTATTAAGCTTTCATTTAATTACATGTGCTGAAAGGTCTGCTTTTGATTACTGTAATTTTTTTTATTTGTCCATCTGAATGATAGTAATGTTGGAAATTACATACAAACCACCTGGCTTTTTTCTCACTAATAAGGCAAAGTTTATATAGATTTATGTGCAGAAGAGGGATTAGGATCTTCCCTGTTTACGGTAGAAGAATTATTGCTGATGCTTGTTCAAGGTGAGGGTTTAAATTTGGTCACTGGAAGGAAATTAAACCTATTTGATTTTTTTTCAGTAAACACTTGAGATTGGTAGGAGTAGTTTACTTTAATATACACATCTTTTATTATGTTTCAGGTAAATTTTGTAAAAGTTGGGTGCATATTCATTTGGCTGGTTTTGTATTTTCATCACTATTCGCAGGAATTAAGGCCCACAGTCTTATCAACATTCATAGAAGTCAAAGTTAAAACTGTACAGTGAGATGGAAACGTACCCTGCTGCCTCTTTTACCTTTCGTTGCTATCTAGCGAACGTGCAGCGTTGCGTTTCAGTAGCAAACGATTCACGTATCAGCTCCCAGTAGAGGTTCTGTAGCTGATGGATACTTTCTGGATAAGTAGACAAAGGCGTGAAGCATTGATTGTTTTTGACAGGGGTTGATAACTCTTTCTTACAAGCAGCCTTATAATATTGCCAATTTTTTTTTTTTTGCATATTTGGGCTCAGTATTTCTTTTTGCTCTTTACTGTGACACTCATTAAGAAGAGGGGGAAAAAAAAAAAACCTAAAAGTCAAATTAAGAAAGAAAGGTATTGGTGTGTCTAAGTCTCAGAAGCTTTCTAGGGTTTTTTTTCCCCCCACTTTGCAAATAGCAAGAGGGGAGAACAAGAAAGTGCTGAAAAAAATACGTAATTCCTTCAAGAGAAGAAACAAAAGGGCAATAAAAATTATGTACATTTACTGCTTCTCTTTTAGGAATGTTGCAGGAATATACTGTATTATCTTCTTGTCTTTCAGCAACTGTATGCAGCTCAGCTGGCTAGCATGCAAGTTTCTCCTGGAGCCAAGATGCCGTCTACTCCGCAGCCACCAAATACGACAGGGGCGCTCTCACCCACTGGCATGAAAAATGAGAAGAGAGGGACCAGCCCGGTAACTCAAGTTAAGGTATTTTTCGAGGGAGAAGAAAGTGGGTGTCTACGTAATTGTTTTAACAGTGGGAAGTTCAACCACATGAAAGTTGTTCAATATTCAAATAAAATGTTCATTTTCAGTGCTGTATTATCAGTTCAGAGAATGGAAGAGAACGTATTCGCTTCTTGCTTCCAAAAATATCAGGCATCCCTCTTCCTACCATATGCAACAGTGCAGATTCAGCCCTAAAATGTGATATTCTCAAGATTTCAGTTTGTAATGTAGTAATGTGCATAAATAGTGTCCATTTCACGACTCGCTTCAAATCGCACATTTGAGTATCTTAAAATATGGTGCTAGCTCACATTGTTAGGGCAAGAGAGACTGTAGATCTTTTAATTATTTTACAAATCCTGAGCTGTACTTTCTCCACAATTTTGGAAAAAGCCTCCCATAAAAATAAAATGCGAGTCAGGACTCCGGGGAAAACATTGTGTCAGAGCAGCTTGATTTGACTCTTGCTGGTTTCGCAGAGCTGCTGACAAGCGGGCTGCTCCGCGCTGGTGTTGCGCTGTTGCCGAATGCTTGTGCCTGCTTATTCTCACTTGCTTGGAAGCAGGCAGCTACAACACGGCAGTTGCCAGCAGCTTGAAACAAGCCGCGGGCACCCCTCGAAATCTGTGGTGCAGCTAGTACCTTTTGGGGGGAACTGGCTCGCTTTTATTGCCATGTTTTCCCGTGGTTGTTCTGAATTTCGCAAGAGGAAATAAGTTGGAAAACAGTTTACTTCAAACTATTAAGTTCCTATTTGGGAGGGAAAAAAGCATACAGATACTTGATCATTTTGAATGATAGCTCTATAAATGCAGCAATATTGAAATAGATCTAAGGAAGGTAAATAGTGACTTTCTGTAGAGAGATAATGTGTTTTTTGGTAATTGCTAAAGCCATATAGGCACACAGGTCTTAGTCTCAAATCAGCCTGGAAACATTTTACTCACTTGAGGTGAGGGTTTCTTTTTTCATTTTTTGACACGAGAGTAAAATATCATTTGTTTTTTCATTATCATCAATCATTGTGGTAAAGTGTGGGTGAGCAGATATTTCTGCCTGGGCTGATAAATTTCCATGACACTTTTTTGCTGGGCTGAGAGTACTAATAAATAAAAACTATTCCATTATGGCCAGATCTAACATTTGTTTAGCAAAGCGTTCGCTTTACTTAACTGTAGATACATGTTAGTCTAATATTTTACCTCTTGTAATCCAATGCCAGGCTTGAGAGCAGTCAGTGAAATTCATCGCATATGCAGAGCTTGTTATGGTCAATTCAGAAGCCACCAAAAGCAAAGGCCAACTGTTTCAGCAAAGTTGCCATAGTACAGTGATACCTAACACCAGTGATTTATGGTATTGAGAATATACTACTGACTACTTTAATGTGAAAAAGTAATTTCATAAGTGAGTGAGCCAAATGGATCTACACCAAACCAAACCTTTACTGTATGAGTAAAATTTTCCCTGGTTAAATTTAAGCACATATCTCCTTGAACCAAGGCCAATACCGTTCCAGCTTTGTGGCCAGCTGAGTCCTATTACTGATGCACTAAAATATATGTTAATAAAAAAGAAGTCTTTTTATACTTGCTTTATTAAGCACACTATTGCACTGAACACATTAAAGGTAAACTACAAGTGCTTAAGGTAGGCAAATACCAATGGATAACAAAAAATTAATAATTAGTATAACAACACTGTAATAGACTAGAATTTGTATGCTGACTTTGCAAATACTGTTACCTTTACAGGACATGGCAGTTTTGGTGGTCATGCATTGCTTAACAAAACCTCTATGTATTTTCTTTATTTAAGCAGTCATTTGTATGTAGTGCTACAATATAATGTTTATTATTTATAGAACTACTGGGATACTTTTGCAGGATTCAGATCTTTCAGAAAATAATGATAGGTTTTTCAAGTCTGTGACCAGAATGCTTTCCAGCTTTTCAGTGGCTTCGCAGAAATGAGAATGCTCTCTATGAAGAACAAGCAAACAGGTTCTGGCAGTGGTCAGAGTTCTCTTCCCGTGATGGTATCATCAGTACTACTAGGCAGAAAGTATTTAGAAATTGAACATGGTAGCACAGGTTTGTATGTGTGCATGCTCACAGGCCCTAATACTGCAAACCTCGTATTCCAAAAGGATTCTCACAAAATTTTATTGAAGCCAGTTGGTGTCTGTGCAGGGAAACAGCTGTGAGTAACGTGGCTGCAAAGCACAAGAGTGCACTGTGTGCCTTACCTTGCAGGACTAGGCAGGGAAACCTTTCTGCTCCTGCGGCATTTGTGTGCACTGCAAGGTCAGGGAGAATAAAAATGCCATGCAGTTTTATGGAAATATTTTAAAGCTGGAAATGCAATGGCATTATAAATACCTGTTTGTTACGTTTGCCTGTTTAATGCATTGTGTAAGATTAGATGTACGTTGCTAAATCACTGCTTGACACTAAGGAGAAAGGAAAAGATGAGCTAATGTAGTGTATTATTGTATTCTGTCATATACTTCTAAGCTTTGAAGTGATCAGTGCTGTGTTTTAAAATATAGACAGTACTCTGTTATAGCCAGCATAATTCTGCTTTGGGCATGTTTTAAATGAGAGATCTCTGTCTTACTGGGCTCTTTAATGACAGAAAATCACTATTTCACAGTTTTTCAAATGTTCTTTCTCGCTGGTTGCTAACATATTATGCAAAAGGGACAAGCCTAAAGAACGGGAAGGAGGTTACATTGTGAATATCCACCCTGATCAAAGAAATTAATTACTTGAATGAGTCTTCTTCCAAAAGTTAAGTGTTTTCTCAAAATGGACTTATTGTCTTATAGCACTGAGACAAGATATATGTCAAAGAGTAAGTTTCTTCCATAATTGCTTGCATATAAAAAGTATCAACATATATAAGTATGCTGACACTGGATTTACATATCCTTAAGAAATATTCCTTGTCTTTATGAAAATAAACATATGGATACCGTAAATATTGAATGTGGCAGAAATAATTACAGAATACAGAAATAATTACAAAAGTATGAGACAGTCATGAAGCAAAATTGCTTTTACATGAAATCTGTCAAAAATACATGACATTTGAATAATAAAATATTGTAAATTGTTCAACATTAAATAGCATAAAATAAAGTGTATTTTAAAATGCATACAATATGAATTGATTAATGTAGTAAGTCAAGGAATTCAAATTCACTTATCTTCTATTATGGGGAAACAGCATAAACAAAGCATGCACTCAAAATAAGATGTACGGAATGTATAAGTTAGTAGCAGCATTAAATATGGGCCAAAGAACTGTCAAGGGTCTCCAAGTGTTTCTTTCATAGAAGTACTTCTGATTGCTTAGTTTCTAATACATTTAAAAATAAGCTACATACATAACTTATTTTTATAGTGCCAGGAACTTTTCAAATAGAACCAATGCAAAAGCATTACTGAGCTGCTGGAAATTTTAAATAATTCTTTGTAAATGCCCTAGGTTAATTTAGATCTCTGAAAACACATTAGGAAATTAAGCTGTAATGTGAGCTAATTCAAATTTTAATTTGGCAAAAAGAACGATCCAGCCACATAGTTAATGTAAATAGAAGCATAACATGGAGAAATTAATGAGGTTTCCTCTCGTTGAATCTTAAAGGAGGCAGATAATTAGCTTCTTTTGTTATTACTGCAGGAGAATGTGGTATTGTCTTGAAGGTGTGAAATAACTGCAGCTTGCAAAGTGATGTGTTCATTTGTCTTTTTCTAATAATTATTTACATTAAACTCTTGTAGGATGAAGCAGCCCAGCCGCTGAATCTTTCAGCCCGACCCAAGACAGCTGAACCTGTCAAATCCCCAACATCTCCAACACAGAACCTCTTTCCAGCTAGTAAAAGCAGTCCAGTGACTGTGACAAGTAAGAGCGGCATCCCCAGCCCCCTCGGTGGAACTCTGGGAAGAGCAACCTCTTTAGGTAAATCTGCTGTGGGGAAAGGAGATAACTGATATTTTTCCTGTGCGAAAATCTCAGCTTGAAAACACTCTCAACATACGAATGAATTAGATACCTGGACCTACATCTCTGTTTAAAATGAAAAAAATTTCAAAAAATACCTCTTGTATTCCAGGCACTTACAAGAGTAACCAAAATGATGCAATAGTGATATTTATCTACAGAAAATATGGCAAATAAATGTACAATGTAAGAAATATATCTATGTCTATAGATATAAAAATATAATGCATGTAAGCATGTGTATAAAGGTTTATGCGAGTGTCTTCCCCAAAGATATCACTTAGGTGCATACGTGCAAAGTTATCTTTTCAGTTTTGGCCCCTGGATTAGGCAAAAAATAGTTTTGCGTGCACACAGAGCCTCACTAGATAGTAGCAATACATACATGCTGGCCCATATGAGTAATTCAGTCCGGTGGGACAGTGGAAGCATGTTTTAAGCATACCTTAAACGAAGCATGTTTTTCAGCATTTTTTTGAACCAGGGCAAGGGGACTTTCGGTATCTCTATGGCTTACAGTAAACCAGAAGTCAGGCAAGAAGGTAACTCCAAGTGTGGTTTTCAGCTATTTAGCCCAGATATACCATTAGCTTTACCCATAACCGCATTCTGAAAAAACATAATCCTCAGTATTCTGAGTATTAAATTTGTTTTACCAGGACCATATTCTGAATATATTAATTTTTTAATAAAGATGAAAAGGCTTCAGTCCAGCTAATTCATATCCTTTTAGTATTTGTTCATACATCTGACTTTTTTTTTTTAATTCAGATGGTTGCGGATAGGGAATTTTTGATCCATGTTTAAGATTCTTTAATTAAGAAATAAAGCTTATTAAATAATGAAACAAAATTGGTCTGAAAACTATGTATGAAGACTGCCTTAACCAGTCAAGAAACAGAATCAAGAGCTCTAAAATTTAGATGATCACAGCCCTAAAGTTCAAATAGTAAATTTTAACAGTTACTAAATACTTACTACAGACCACTTATTCACAATCTGTAGCTCAAGTGTACTTGTAAATATATAGAAACACTTGAGAATAATGAACAGATATATTAAATACATACATTACATATATAAAAATTATGATTTGTTCCATTCTCAAAACACTTGGGAACATCATAATCTCTAAAAGATCTGCAGCTAGATAGATATTCAGCCTGTCGATTTATTTCTGGCTACCACTACAGTAACTAACATTAGAAAGTGGCACATCAGTTTGAACTGAAAGACCGTTCTGGAGAGGTGGATAAACAAGATAGACCTAGAATGTGAATAGTTTTAATGTAAAGTCATAAAACTTTTCCTCTGGGTCCTAAAGTTTAAAAGAAGCCTGGGGAAACATTGTCAAACATCAGCAAGCAACACAGGACCTTCTGCTCTATTTTTTAGATAAATTGAGGTGATTGGGAGTCTAAATCTCATTGTAAGTCAGACAAACTTTGTTTGCAACTCACTTAGGCTCCAGAAGGGAACTGAGGTGGCTAACTCATGCCCAAGAAGAGCAACTGTTGCTCCCTAACATGAAGTTATTATGAGGAGTGCTCCAGTTCTGACAGAAACGTCACAGTTTTATCACCTCTGTTCTCCTCTACACTGCAATACTAAAACAACTGCCCTAAATCCTAACGTTTTTGATTTTAAAATAATTTAGAGTCCTTTGAGGTTGCAATTCGCTATATATTGCTTAGCTGAACTGCAATGGAATCAAAAGAATTGAAGCATGTAGGAAAATTAGCTTGCAGAATTCCAAGTCTTAGCCTGTTTGTTATATTTTTTTAGCGTTACTAGGAGTGTTCACAGTTCACACTAGAGCTTTTATAAAAGACATTTGCTTATCAGGCATGATTGCTCAAAGTTCCTAGGCAGCAGGTATATCCATGATATAGATATATATAGATAGATGGATATATGTCTATATATATATCTCTTTCTCCACAGATATATCCATGTTCTTTATAATGGAAACTCCCATGTAAGTACAGGTGGATCACGTTAAAGGTTCCCCATAGCAACACAAAACTACCAATCACCAAATAATTGTTGTCTTTTGGTCTAAAATCAAAAAGTGTATCTGGGGTACTAATCTTTACCTCTAAGATGCGTTTTAAGATGCCAAGGAAATGTTTCATTTGAGTTTACTGTATGTTTAAAAGGTTCTATTTTTGTCCAGAGTGTGTAATAGAAAGAAAATAAATATTTTCTCTCCACTGATGTATAGCTTTAGACTCATGTTAAGGTGATGACATGCTCTGTCCCCTGCTATTAACTGTAGATGTTCTTTTTGAAATTGGAAATTGAATATACAGAGTGATGGTTACCTTTTGATAAAGAAATTCTAAAAATTGACATATACTTCCATGGCCAAGTAAATAAGATTTCTTTCTCCTCCTTTGTTCCTTTTTTCTCTCTTAAAATTTCAAAGGCTGCCCACTTAAGTTTCAGACTAGTGTTATGTTAAACATATTTAACCTTAAGCTTTGAGTCCACAGCTCTGTTGCTACGTATCAGCAATGTCAAGGCCTCAGTGGCTGAAAAAAAACAAGTCCACAAAAGGGCACACTAAGTGCAGCAAAACCAGTGCACAGGCTTATCAGTCAAGTCTATAGATTAATTCAGCCTTCAAAAAGACAACAATTGTCACTCCTCCTCCTCCTTCTGCAGAAGTTAGTCAGCTCTAAGAGGATGAGAGCTCAATTCTGATTTGGATGATGATTGCCTAAATAAAGTGTGTTCTCTGTTTATAGATATCCTTTCCAGTCTTAACTCACCTGCCCTATTTGGGGACCAGGACACAGTAATGAAAGCCATTCAGGAGGCTCGAAAAATGAGAGAGCAGATCCAAAGGGAGCAGCAGCAGCAACAGCAGCCGCATGGTGTTGATGGAAAATTGCCCTCCATGAATAACATGGGTCTAAACAACTGCAGGAATGAAAAGGTAATGTCTCCCATTGCCACGCTGTCTGCCATTCATTCTTTTTTCTTATTTTTTCTTATTTTCTTATTCTTTTTTCTTATTTTATATAAAATTTACAGCTTTTACATTAAATATAGCTTGTCACTTCAAAGTGCTGTGCCACAAACTTCTCTACCTTTACGTGACAGCGTTCAAAAGACCAGTCCTATGCACTACACATGGTTAAACATGCATGTGACATTGTGGAAAATAATTGGGTGAAGCTAGCATGGTTTGTGGTCATTAGATTTTGAATTGTGCTTTGGAGGATGATTGGATTGACGAATATGACAGAAACGCTGTTTGTGTATTAGTATGGTTGAGGAGTACAATGCTATTGAACATATATGGGTGTGCTCGAATCTGTGACTCAGATTCGACAAGGTATTTAGGCTCAAAATAGTGCTTTTGGCTCTTGGCTTCAATGGGAAACTAGGGGCCAAAATTCTTTGTTGAATCTTGGCTGTAGTTTCCAAACAGTAAAAAGGAAATGGGGTCCCACAATAAAATGGTAAATGAGGGAAAGTGGAGAGAGTGCATGGCCAGCACTGGACTGAGCAAGGCAGCGTTCAGTTTACAAAATAGCACAATCGTACACTGAAGGTGAGGAGCGGTTTTTATCACATACACTGAAGGACTGCACAGAGGAAAAAGAGTTCTCTTGGAGAATTCTTTATATCCGTGTAGTCCTGCTCTGTGGCCTTTGCAAGGTCTGGGAGATCTGCTCGGGGAGCAGGTCCCTGTGTGTATGTCTGAGCCAGTGAACACTGAATCATGTAATTGGCTGAGCCTTATAAGGCAGCCCTTTTGATGCAGAATGCTGTTCTGTTGGCTTCCCTAGGGGTGGCTTATCCTGCAAAAAATACAGCATACAAGTTATTTTCCACCACTGACACAAAATCAATTATATACTACGATACTTATTGGACGTTCCATTTAACTAGAAAGGAAGAAGTATTTTTGCTAGTGCTAGTTTAAATGACAGCATTTAAAACTCACTTAATACAGACGGATACTATGAAAAACATGGAAATTAATAATTGATCAAGTAGGCTATATTCAGGCAAAACTCTAATTGAAAAGTCAGTGTTTATCTGAGAGGTAGGGTACTAAAGCTCAAGTTATAAAAATAAAATAAATGTCACACCTATGATCAGTATTAAGAGTTTATAAAATAATGCTTATTTTAAAATGTATGTTATGAGTTTCAGTGGCTTGACATTTAAAAATACCTGATACACTGTAAGGGCTATTAAAGGAATTCTTAACATTTGATTCGACTTTGAAAAGTAAGTATAAAAATGGCATCCACTTACTTATCAGATCTGCTCCCTGAGAATTTTCAGTACCACCTTTACGTTATGTGTTGGATATAATAAGTTTCTATATCCTCTTTCACCTTTTATAGCAAAGTCAGTAAAGATTTCAGCGAATGATCTGGAATTTCTTTGCTATGCAGGTTAACAGCAATACACAACTGCATGTAGGAACAAAAGAGATTGACTTACAGGTTCCAGGGTGAGGTTGCACATTTGGCAGTCAGAGAAAAGAAAATCTTTTTACTTGCAAATTTAGCAGAGTCAGTGGGAAGCCTTTAAAAATATAAACATATGCATATAAATATAAATTCTCTAATGCCATCGTTTTTGGGGAGAATTTTCTGCATAGCACTGGCAATTTCCAAACTCTTAAGAATAAAATGGCAGCAAAGAAATATGTTTTTAAATCTCTCGGTGTCCTTACATAATCTCACGTGTTTTATTTACTGTATTTAGAAAGTGAGCCATTAAGGCAGGAAAAAGTTGTAGGATATACTCAATTTTTACCTTTGGTATGTTAGTTTGTCATTCTGTAGTTGCAAGAAGGGCAGGGTTTACAAAAGACTGGCATATAAATGAGTCTTTTTACATGATGACATGTCCCCACTCTCTGCTCTAAATAAAATAAAATAATTAATTTAGAGTCATGAATACTGAGGGAGTGTGTTTGTATTTTATAGGAAGTATAAAATACAGTAAAAACAGAATTATACTTTGCACAAATAGCATTCTAGAATACTTTTTTCCCCCTTTATTCTCCCCCATTTTGATTTTTACATTGGTGATACATTCTTTTTACTATGAAAATGATGGGCAGGCTGATCAGAAGAGGATGATAGATCACTTCAAAAACAGAAACATAATTTTGCAATAATTGTGTGCCAAGAAGACAGTGTATTGTTTCTGTCATAACCCCACTGAAGCTTTGATAACGTAGTTGCCGTTTTGGATTGGCTTCTTTTGAAGAATCAGGAACCTATGTTTTCAGAACCAAATTTTCAGAAATCGGCTTCAGGTAATTAGACTTGTATAAATGAGTAGCTAGAAGCCAGCACCAGAAAAAGATGACAAATTAATTGCCTGCAGCTGGTTTAAAAAAAAAAGCTGTTGAGTTCTGGTCACTTACTGGTCTTCAAGTTCAGATGGCTGGTAATAGTTTGCTGTGCAAATGATTACGCTTACAAAATTATGTATATAGCTTCAAAGCCTGAGCCCAGGCCTTCCTGAAAATGTGTCATTTAAATCTCTGAACACTTTGTGTTTGGTTAGAGTCATGGAATTAAAAATTGCCCGTGTTCGTATTCTGCTATTAAAAAAAAAAAATCTACAAAGCTCTAAAAGTGGTCACAGAGATTCACGCATCAGAAAGAGCAAAACAAAAGCATGCTGGACTCTGGCACCGACAAACTTTATGATGTGATAAAGCATTAAGGATTGACTATGCTTTTAAGACAATACCATTTTGTAAACATCTACATTTATGCAGTTATTTTAGTTTGTGCAAACAGGGGATAAAGTTACTGTAGCAGAGCTGGCTTTTTCTGCTATTCCTGGTGCTAATCAGGTGTAGGCGAACTGAGGAAAGCAAAGAGGAAACAGTGTCAGTGGTTTCAGAGAGTAAAGAGAAACATCCGTGAAGGGGAGGGAATTCAGAAAATTCAGAAAATAGCGTACAGAGCTCAGTTTGTGTGGTATAAGCAAAAGCAAAATCATACGACGATCGGCTTTGCTCAGAGGATATGACTTTTTTCCAGTCAAGCCATGGTTACCTTTAGCAAAAATGAGTTCATGAAAGTACTTAAACAGAATTTGCATTACTAGAGCTACTTGTATTTATTTTAGTATTTCAAACTAGGATGATTGCCTTGGAAATTTGCTTTGATTTAGAGCTTTAAATGAACCTGAAGATGCTATATAATTTATAAGATATGTAACGTATTTAAAAGGGTCAGATCTTATCATTTTTTGTGTATAAAGCATGAAAACACTGACAAAAAACACTTCAGAAAATCTTTGTAGAAAAAATATAGGCAGAAATGTGTTACTGTGCATTGGAGGAAAATATATGAGGTCAGGACAGAGCATATATCCACTAGATAACTATGCTTAACATACGTGCTAGACTCAAGGACACCCCCCACACCAATTTCCCTACGCATGAAGCATATTCATTGAGATGAGAGGAAACAGAATTTGATAGAAAATTTTTACATTTATATTCCGTTCCCACTGTTTTTTAGACTATCAGGCAACTGTATATTTGCAGTAGGAAACCAAAATTAGACACTAAAAGATATTACATGAGTCATCACCAACTTCCTGGAAATTACGGTACTTTAGCACCTCTTATAATGAGCCTTTTATTCCTTTCTTATTTCTAAATCAGAGTTATTACAAGCTGAATCTACATCATTTATCCCACTGTAGACCACACTCGTATGTGCAAAATGTGTACATTCTTAAAAACATATATTATTTACCCTTGGAGATGTTACAGTCTATTGATCAAATCCATATTTAGGCACTTCAATTTGACTTGATAAACCATAACGACCCCTTCGGAGGTGTTATGGTCTGCTGTATTTAGGGACTGTTAAATATGTGGATTATTGACACAATAGAGTGTAACAACTCCTCTGGAGCTGCTACGCTTCATCATTTATATGAAGGCACTGCACATGCGTGCAAACTTGGCCTGATAAAAAAAAACACTTCAGGAAGTCTTTGTAGAAAAAGTTACTAGTCATGCATAATCTCCTTTCGACTGCCTGCAGACCTGCAGTGACTCCCTCATTGTATTACTTTTTTCTAAATGCCAAAAGTACTGGATGATGTTACCGGCAGTTTCTTACCAGCTTTTTTCTCCTCCTACATTCAGTATTGCAGACAGAACTGCAGCGGCAGGAGGAGACTCAGTGTCTGTTCTGCAAGTGCCGGCTGCTTCCCAAAGAATGGCTGAGAGAAGCACCAGCTATCCTTCTTATTAGTCATTTCTCAACTCCGTTAAAAAAAAAAAAAAAGTTAAGAAAATACTTCTTCTGCATTCTATTTTCTTTCCTCCTTTCACTGAAAATACTCATGATTATCCTTAAATCTTGAACATGAGCAAATTGGTCATAAGGGCCTTGCAGATTTTTATAAATCATCATAAATGAGTGCTTTAGACAGGCAAGAACTGATCGATTCTCTTTTGCTCTTATCTTTTAAGAAAATCTCCCTATTGCCTTTTTTTTGTTATTTTAGTTACTTATAGAAGAATCGTTAGTTTAACTAGTAAATAAGAGGTCAATACTTATATTTCGGCCTATTTTTTGAGATAACAGAAACTGTGAGCATATTCGATTAAATCTTTCTTTCTCTTAATTAACCCTTAATTCCACTTGCAATTAAAGGGCAAATATGTCACAGTCAGGCCAAATAAATGGATAGCAGTATCAATAGCAAATGATTAGTTTTACAAAGTTATCACTTTTATTAAGATATTGTCTTGAGAGTCATTGTGCCAAATTCTGTTCTCACCTGCAGTTTAAGGAAGGTGCCTCCCAGACATTTATATTTAAGTTTAAATTTAATTTCAGTATAAGTATATATTTCTAAATTTTAAAATAGAAAATCTGGAACCATATAGAAAAAAAGAGAATGACAGTGATGTAGTTAAGGAGC